ACAGCACTCCCTTCGGCAAACGATGGTTCGGCATACGTAACACATGTTCTCCTGATTGCCGATTACAACTCTGAGAAACACTAATCAGAGGTCTCCAGAGTGTGCTGAAATTTTTGTCCACTCCAGATTGTCCTTTCGATGGTCGTGGGTGAGATGCTCACGTGTTAGCTCCGCGTTAGTGCAGATTGTCTGTCGGTTAGCATAGATTTCTTAGGCTGTGCGATTTGTTATTGAACGTCTTCATAGGCATTTGAGATGAACTGCTGAGGGGACTCTTGAAGTAAGTCAGTAGGAACTAAATGGTGAGTGAACGCCGCAGTAATATTTCCTGCGAGGTTTGCTGCACACAGGGCTTCAGGTCCCAAAATTAGCATTCCTTGAGGAGGTATCTTTGGCTTGCTACTGATGCATTGAATGAGTAGTACGATCATTCAGCTGTAACAGCCTTTCGGTGCCTAACTGCCACCGAACCAAAAGTATTGCTGCAATCATGAAAAAGACACAGGATGAATGAATACCATTCTACTAAATCAGTTTCTTACACCTGCTCTTCTCCGTTTCAGCTCTTTGGCACGAACGTCGCCGTAGTCAACGGAGGCTCACTGATAACAAATGGGTTCTCTATATTTTGCTGGTCACAGACTATTCCGACCTGCCTTTGGACTGCGGTGATCCTCCAACCAAGTTTGACTTGAACTGGATTACGCCGGATAAAGCAGTGATATTGGCTAGCGCAAAGTACTCCGTCACCGAAATCTACTTACCATGATCATGTATCTAGCTTATTTTTTCTCGAGCGATTGTTCCCTCTAAAGGAAAACGATGATTATCGATCCTCCTGTTGTGTTTTATCCCTCGGGCATTTTAGACTCTGATATTGCGGGAATCTTGCTTAATCAAAAGGATCCGCATCACTCGTACCCAGGTGATCTGTCAGATAGAAACTGTTTGTCATTGAGAACACTCTACTTTGTGAAAGAAATTAAACTACGCGCACTTAAGAGCTCTGGTAACCAGAGCAGTCAGGCAACGTGCTGGAACGGTGAACCAATACACAAGTGGCTATGCATGTATTTCGCATCACGGTATCACGTACGATACAGCGGTGAATGAGCGTTGTGGCAAAGGTCAAACATTTCGAAGATGCGTCTCCATTCTTGATGAAACTAGAGTATTTATCCGGAACAGGTCATCTGTTTGTTGATTGTTGATCAGATGGCTGTTGATCTGTTCGCCGAGCTTGGCAATTGATTTACAAACGTTTCGTCTTCATACGAAGAGACATCATCAGTTGGGCGGTTCATCTCCTTTGAAAGAATTGTTATTCCCGTTCTACTGTTTCGTCCCTTTTGAATGGTTAACATCAGATTACTTCCTCAGCAAGAGGTTAACACTGACATGACAGGCAATTTTCTGGACCTCTGAATTTTGAGCGATTTGGTCGAATTCACTCGCTCCCCCTGAGCACTATGGTGCAAGGATGAAACTGAAGGTAAAATCGATAGCGTGGTGAATTTGAATTTGCTGTGCGAACAAAATGGCATTCATTTCTCAAATTTGTGACGTAGAAAGAACCGTAAAAATGTTGTTTGATGTGCAAACTCATGCTCATTTGGGGGAAGTCAGGAAGTTAGAAATTCCTGAACGCATCAGAACCTCCTTATTCTCATTTGTGATGCCAGGATCTACGAATTTAAATTTATAATATGTGATTTTTTTGTCAGATTGCTTATTTTCACCTGTCCGAGACAAGCCCTGTGAGCGCAGTTCGTATTACAAAGTGTCACGGACAGGTTGGCTGATGTCCCTGGGTCGGTCGGATCATGTCTGTCAAATGCAGCTAGACGCCTGTGGTACTGTGGGCCTCTAAGTCCATTTGGCATGCATCTGGAGTACAGCAAATGAAGCATTTGCAATGGCTGATCCAAGGCAGTCAATTTGGATGACGATAACATGCCCCTAAATGTGCGCGGACGACGGGCGAGGACGAACCCCATGGTTGAGAGACCACAGAAAGCAGCGGAGAGTGGGAAAACAGGTCAACACAAATGGGTTAAAAATGGAATATATAACATATCACAAGTCCTACAGCCTGTGCCATGGTCGTAGAAAGTAGCGATTCCGCCTAGTTTGAATTCGTGTTGTCTGTTCTGAGTCAAACTATTGTATAATTTCGTTCAGACGAGTAGAAAAGGTACCTGCCCTGTCAGCTGCATCATTGTTTAGCGAAAAAATCATTTTAACGGCAATGTAACCGATGCAGACTTATGCTAGAAAACTCGAGAAGCACTGCGTAGTTGCTTCATCCTCATTTGAAACCATTAACAGTGCACATCTGATTAAACCCAGGGGAGTTTTGAACTTACAACCTTCCGGCCAGTGGCTAAATACTTAAGCGTTCGGCGAAGAGCTGCTGATCAGCACAGAAAGGAAACAGCGTCACTCATTATTCAATGGGAGTACTCTCATCACATGGCCACGTGTGTACTGGCTCCTCAGGTAACGATCTCCTATATGTAAGGTCAAAACAACCCGTGAATCATCCGTCCTACTAAGCTTTATAGTATAGTATAGCATAGTATAGTATATTATATTATATTATAGTATAGTATAGTATAGTATAGTATAGTATAGTATAGTATAGTATAGTATAGTATAGTATAGTATAGTATAGTATAGTATAGTATAGTATAGTATAGTATAGTATAGTATAGTATAGTATAGTATAGTATAGTATAGTATAGTATAGTATAGTATAGTATAGTATAGTATAGTATAGTATAGTATAGTATAGTATAGTATAGTATAGTATAGTATAGTATAGTATAGTATAGTATAGTATAGTATAGTATAGTATAGTATAGTATAGTATAGTATAGTATAGTATAGTATAGTATAGTATAGTATAGTATAGTATAGTATAGTATAGTATAGTATAGTATAGTATAGTATAGTATAGTATAGTATAGTATAGTATAGTATAGTATAGTATAGTATAGTATAGTATAGTATAGTATAGTATAGTATAGTATAGTATAGTATAGTATAGTATAGTATAGTATAGTATAGTATAGTATAGTATAGTATAGTATAGTATAGTATAGTATAGTATAGTATAGTATAGTATAGTATAGTATAGTATAGTATAGTATAGTATAGTATAGTATAGTATAGTATAGTATAGTATAGTATAGTATAGTATAGTATAGTATAGTATAGTATAGTATAGTATAGTATAGTATAGTATAGTATAGTATAGTATAGTATAGTATAGTATAGTATAGTATAGTATAGTATAGTATAGTATAGTATAGTATAGTATAGTATAGTATAGTATAGTATAGTATAGTATAGTATAGTATAGTATAGTATAGTATAGTATAGTATAGTATAGTATAGTATAGTATAGTATAGTATAGTATAGTATAGTATAGTATAGTATAGTATAGTATAGTATAGTATAGTATAGTATAGTATAGTATAGTATAGTATAGTATAGTATAGTATAGTATAGTATAGTATAGTATAGTATAGTATAGTATAGTATAGTATAGTATAGTATAGTATAGTATAGTATAGTATAGTATAGTATAGTATAGTATAGTATAGTATAGTATAGTATAGTATAGTATAGTATAGTATAGTATAGTATAGTATAGTATAGTATAGTATAGTATAGTATAGTATAGTATAGTATAGTATAGTATAGTATAGTATAGTATAGTATAGTATAGTATAGTATAGTATAGTATAGTATAGTATAGTATAGTATAGTATAGTATAGTATAGTATAGTATAGTATAGTATAGTATAGTATAGTATAGTATAGTATAGTATAGTATAGTATAGTATAGTATAGTATAGTATAGTATAGTATAGTATAGTATAGTATAGTATAGTATAGTATAGTATAGTATAGTATAGTATAGTATAGTATAGTATAGTATAGTATAGTATAGTATAGTATAGTATAGTATAGTATAGTATAGTATAGTATAGTATAGTATAGTATAGTATAGTATAGTATAGTATAGTATAGTATAGTATAGTATAGTATAGTATAGTATAGTATAGTATAGTATAGTATAGTATAGTATAGTATAGTATAGTATAGTATAGTATAGTATAGTATAGTATAGTATAGTATAGTATAGTATAGTATAGTATAGTATAGTATAGTATAGTATAGTATAGTATAGTATAGTATAGTATAGTATAGTATAGTATAGTATAGTATAGTATAGTATAGTATAGTATAGTATAGTATAGTATAGTATAGTATAGTATAGTATAGTATAGTATAGTATAGTATAGTATAGTATAGTATAGTATAGTATAGTATAGTATAGTATAGTATAGTATAGTATAGTATAGTATAGTATAGTATAGTATAGTATAGTATAGTATAGTATAGTATAGTATAGTATAGTATAGTATAGTATAGTATAGTATAGTATAGTATAGTATAGTATAGTATAGTATAGTATAGTATAGTATAGTATAGTATAGTATAGTATAGTATAGTATAGTATAGTATAGTATAGTATAGTATAGTATAGTATAGTATAGTATAGTATAGTATAGTATAGTATAGTATAGTATAGTATAGTATAGTATAGTATAGTATAGTATAGTATAGTATAGTATAGTATAGTATAGTATAGTATAGTATAGTATAGTATAGTATAGTATAGTATAGTATAGTATAGTATAGTATAGTATAGTATAGTATAGTATAGTATAGTATAGTATAGTATAGTATAGTATAGTATAGTATAGTATAGTATAGTATAGTATAGTATAGTATAGTATAGTATAGTATAGTATAGTATAGTATAGTATAGTATAGTATAGTATAGTATAGTATAGTATAGTATAGTATAGTATAGTATAGTATAGTATAGTATAGTATAGTATAGTATAGTATAGTATAGTATAGTATAGTATAGTATAGTATAGTATAGTATAGTATAGTATAGTATAGTATAGTATAGTATAGTATAGTATAGTATAGTATAGTATAGTATAGTATAGTATAGTATAGTATAGTATAGTATAGTATAGTATAGTATAGTATAGTATAGTATAGTATAGTATAGTATAGTATAGTATAGTATAGTATAGTATAGTATAGTATAGTATAGTATAGTATAGTATAGTATAGTATAGTATAGTATAGTATAGTATAGTATAGTATAGTATAGTATAGTATAGTATAGTATAGTATAGTATAGTATAGTATAGTATAGTATAGTATAGTATAGTATAGTATAGTATAGTATAGTATAGTATAGTATAGTATAGTATAGTATAGTATAGTATAGTATAGTATAGTATAGTATAGTATAGTATAGTATAGTATAGTATAGTATAGTATAGTATAGTATAGTATAGTATAGTATAGTATAGTATAGTATAGTATAGTATAGTATAGTATAGTATAGTATAGTATAGTATAGTATAGTATAGTATAGTATAGTATAGTATAGTATAGTATAGTATAGTATAGTATAGTATAGTATAGTATAGTATAGTATAGTATAGTATAGTATAGTATAGTATAGTATAGTATAGTATAGTATAGTATAGTATAGTATAGTATAGTATAGTATAGTATAGTATAGTATAGTATAGTATAGTATAGTATAGTATAGTATAGTATAGTATAGTATAGTATAGTATAGTATAGTATAGTATAGTATAGTATAGTATAGTATAGTATAGTATAGTATAGTATAGTATAGTATAGTATAGTATAGTATAGTATAGTATAGTATAGTATAGTATAGTATAGTATAGTATAGTATAGTATAGTATAGTATAGTATAGTATAGTATAGTATAGTATAGTATAGTATAGTATAGTATAGTATAGTATAGTATAGTATAGTATAGTATAGTATAGTATAGTATAGTATAGTATAGTATAGTATAGTATAGTATAGTATAGTATAGTATAGTATAGTATAGTATAGTATAGTATAGTATAGTATAGTATAGTATAGTATAGTATAGTATATAGTACAGCTTAGTATAGTATAATACAGCATAGCATGGTGCAGTATAGTATAGCACAGTACAGTATAGTATGGTGTAGTCCAGTATTGTAAAGTATAGTACAGTATAGCATAGTATAGGTTGTTTATGACATTTAAAGTTCGCGCCTGAAAGCGATAATCAGCCCAGACGCAGAATCTTCTTCAAACAGTTGTTGGAAGCCTGGGTCTGGTTTCCTCTCCATTTCAGGAGAAAAATACCAATTTTACTCAAATTCGTATCCATTTATTCAGTCACTTAATAAGGCACATTCATCAAAGGCTACACCTAAGTGGTGGACCCCAAGAAGTGTGAAATGGCTGTCGAAGAGTGTTCAGAAGGCTTACGAGTGAAATGTTCCGTGAAGGACATACATCTTAAAGGCCCTGTCATGTCTTTTATTATGCGACTTTCATCAAGTCAACGTCGTACACGCTTTTGAAGGTAAGATAACCGTAGAATATGGGATGGTATGAAGGAATCTAGGGGGTCTGCTTTCCTTGTCACGTGATATCACGCAGACCTGAAGTTAGAGAGAAGATAGGCAGGGACATCTGTACTTGGGCAGCGTGTGGGTCAGTATGTATACGAACAAAAGGACTCTAAAAAGTAGCAGATGGAAGAGTGCAAACCTCATGTCTGGTCCTAAGCCATGTCCGTTTAGGCACAGCGTAGGTACGGTCATACGATCAGTAATACCGACCAGTGACAATTCGTAGATCTGTAGAGAGAGGTCATAACAGTCAGTAACGTGGTTCTTGGGACCAACAGAACTCTATATAAAAGGATTATCAAGCAGAAAAGGCATATGAGGGACGTCACAAAAGGGTGAGAGAGAAAAACCGCTGATCATCAGGGGCGAGATGGCTCAGTGGTTAGAGCGGGAATTTGCTGACGGGAATGTCCGTGGTTAGAATCTGACCTCTGGATCCCGACTGCTCTTGTTTAGGCTTGGGCAACCTGCCCTCGTTCAACCTTCGGGTTCCATGCCAGCTTGGCACCAACCGGGTGTTACAGCTGAATGATTTATTTTTTTCATCGATCATCATCGTCAGCTGTTAGAACCGCGTTCTTGCCGTAAAGTGGTTATATCTGCCACAGTCTCGTTCACCAATGGTGGTGAGGCAGCGCATTGGCAGTGGTAGCTGACATAATTGATACATAAATGCAGGAATGTCAGTGGACTTTTAAGTGGGGGTTGGGTTGGGAAGGGAGCTATTTATTGAATGCAACAGCTTGGATGCATGAGCTCCACTGAGGGCGCGACTGCGCGCTGTCTAACAATGTCTCTAACCATTGATATGCCCCTTCTCGGAGTACCCATCCAGATAGACGATAATGACCGTACGGCTAATTTCGCTGTTGATGGGTTTCATACTTTCTGCCAAGTCATTCTTTGACCTCATCTGACCCGTTTTCACCCTTCACATTCGAGGGAGTCGGTCGACTGGCATGCGGGGCAGATGGCCAAGCCAGAGCAACCTAAGCAGTTCATCTACCATAGGTGAGTTATTTATTCCGAATACCAAGGCCGTACTTAGCAACTGTAGATAGGAAGAACGGCAGTGTGCGCAGTACTGGACCCCTTACTCAACACACATCCTCCTGCTAGAGAGGTTGCGAATAAATGGAATAAATGGCAGCTAACCTCCATTCTGCTTCCCTTGAGGAGGCCAGTCGAAGGGTTTATAGCTGGGCACTGTTTTGCTTTGACACAAAACCCTGGTCTGGCCAAATAAGTATGTTTCCAAGTTGCCTCTTTTCAAATTCTAGGATGATTCTAACCCTTCGTTTTACGGTGAATTTGACAGTAGTTGCGTAACGTACAAACTCTTTTTTCATCGGGGTTATGTTTCTTTCTGGAAAATCCTGATTTGGTGTAAGCGAAAGTACATGGCTCGAGAACTGTGATCAAGTCGGCTTGTGGGCCGTCGGAGCTAGTGGGCTACATTTGGCATCGTTTTGGAAGATAGTCACTGTCGAAACGAACGACTTCCGGTGATAACGATAGCAGACCTCTTTTGAGATTCACGCATCGGTGGTCGAAGTCAGCAATCATTTTGCTCTATGGACACACAACAGAGGATGTCAAGTCTCGTTCAGTTCCGACCGAGGTAGCACATGAACAAACCGTGACGCGAAGTGGGAAAGTGGGTTTATGAGAGTATATCTTCGAGTAACAGCCAAAGAAGATGTGATCCGACTAGTCAGCATCTCTCCATGTGCCTTTAATCACACTGTCACCCCCTATCGGTCACTATGCCTCTTCAACCCTTTTCAACCAAGCCGAATGTAGCTATGGAGTTTGAAGCGTTTGAAGGCAATCAATTGTGCATCAAGAGAGCCAGAATACGTTGACTTCTGGCAACGATATATTGGAAGGATGACAAAATCGATACCGTGGCCTACAGTCTCATTCAGTTTTTAGGATGTGCGGGTGTTGAATGGCGTTAGTGGAACACAAAAGAACTTTGAATGTACACAGCACACACAAATTAACTTATCCGCTGGTACGAGAACATAAAAAGTGATGAGCGCTCACAGAAAAGTTATCGATCGCGTGAACTGAAAGCGGTAAAATGTTATTGATTTTTATGTGCCGCGTTTCGCTAGAAGAAGGAGATTAGAGGTCGGAAAATGGTCTTCGTGAGAGGTGGAGTGTAGGGAACTAAATAGTTCAATGAAAACATAAT